ATATAATCGTTGTTTCTCACAAATATGTGTATATTATATGACTTTTCCCTGTTCCGAGTACGATTATTTACTTTAGTAGAGTCACGTCCACCCCGGCTGGTCCGTATTTTGTTATCAGTTTCGAATTGTTCCCGACCAGACGGCAACCTATACGAATATTGTTGGGTGAACATAAACTAAAATTGTCTGATCAATGTTAACAGTGATCATTGCATCAAGAACGGATGACGTTTGGAATGAATGGTTACTCGCGTTAGCCGAGGAGCCTGCTTATTGTCGTTTTTATAGCGAAGGCCACTGACGAATTCACATTCTTTATAAAAGTTCTCTCCACTGATCGTCTTATGTTTGATCTACCAATTCTGATTAACTTTAATCGGTATGATACTGTTTTCTGTAATCTTTAAGGTTCAGTTAGTTCAACTGTTGATCTTTTTAATAAATGTTTAAATATAGATTTTATTACGGAAACACTCTTTTGCCATTTCTATACTCGTCGACCAGGCACGTATTGACGAACTGGAACTACGTTTAGCCAACTTAGTGGCCCAGCTTCGTCCCGGTCATTTGCCACAATCGTCACCATCTTCACCGTCAGCATCTTCAAACGAATTAAAAAATGACACCCAGTCGGATACATCTCAGACAGCTTCCACCATCTCAAATAGCAGTCTGTCTTTAACGTTACCTACGGCTATAGCACCCCCACCTCCACCTCCACCACCTACATTTGACGCCCCACTTGATTGGACTCCCACGTATGGACCGTGGCCGCAGATCGAGGAGGAGTGGCTGGAAGAAGACGGAGTGGTCGAAACTGAAGGCGATGAAGAGTATGTGCACGTAGGTCACCATCCTGCATCAAGCAACACGAAAACCCGAGGCGACGGTCGGGTTTCAGATTCAATCTCCTCGGGTTCATCCGTCCCGTCTTCTATCTCCCCGCGAGCAATCGCAGTCAGTCCTCCTGCTGACGCTTCTTCACATACGTCTAGAGCGTCCATGTATCGCTCGTTTTCGGAAGAAGAGTTGACTCTTACTCGAGAGCTGTCAGATTGGTTACAGCTGGTTGCGAATTGGTTCAGAACGCCGTGGTCCTACATCAGTTTATTACTGCCAAAGCACTGGTTATCTCATATGACTCCACTGAGTAGTAACACTATCGGAGTAAGTAGTAAAAATCTGTTGGCTATCCATATGTTTTTGGTGTTTGATACAAGCTTTAATGCATTGAGTGCATTCTATGATCACGTGTGTGTACGTCTGTTTTTCCATTGTCGTGAGACTATTCCCGTCACTCCTCGCCTCACCACCGTCACGTTTGGTTTCACTCTCCCCGGTGTCTTGGCACAGATGATCTACATGGCTTTGCTTCATCTGGCCTTTGCTGTCTGCTCACATTTGCTGATCTATTGGACCTGGCTTCGACCTTGCAGTCGCAAATGGCAACCGGACTTGCTGGCTCTCTCTCATTCCTCGTACACCCCTTTGCCATTGGTGCCTTTGAACAGTTCAGTCGGTTGTCATTCGATCAAACAGCGACCCACAAAACGGAAGGACAATCTTTCAGGAAGTTCACATTATTCCAAACAGATCAAGGCGCACCCTACGGAACAGTCATGCGTAACCAATGTCGCACCGTCTTCGCTTGTTTCATGGAATCATGCGAGTGAGATGAAGGGTACCAAACGACCGATAAACGGAAATGCAGTCCATGTACGTTCGAATGCGTTGCTCCATTTTTCTCCGTTCTGTTTCCCAAACTCTCGTGGAATGGTAGTAGATGCAACGATTTTTCCGATCGCTTTTCTATTTAAATAACTTCACGTAACGCGAGAAATTCGTCTCCTAGTATCGTTTCAGATGTTCAAATTCCAGTCCTGTTTTATTTGCACATTCTTTTGTCTTCTCCTTTCAACGATCTCCGTTCACTCAAAAGTATAACCAAGCGATTTTTATTGTTCGATTTTTTGGTTAACCTACCGGTTTTCAATCGCTGGCATTGATTTATGCCCCATTCAGTCGACAGAACACTGTTACCTTTGCAAAAATAACATGCTGTAAACTATCTATCGTGGATCTGAGTTCTGGTGTACAGCAAATGTTTACTACACATCCCTGCGAACATTGCAACGAGGCAAAATGAGGTGATTGGTTTAATAGTTTATACAATCTTTGGAAATTGTGTCGCTTTCGGCATCTGTTGGTTAGTCATCTGACAGTAGTCGCTTGATTTGACCTGTTATCGTATTGAGCCGATCTCACTGTATGCTGTATTCTCTGATTGCCGGTTTGTCACTTGTGTTCAAATCAAATCTAACGCCTATGCGCTGGCAAAGTGTAATTTTATTTGTTCTTGTTCCCACCCCTCTGCGCGCTTTCGGTTCAGACCAACTCTGTCTGTTCCCAACCGATGTCACCTAGTTCATTTCATTCAGTGACAACGTCCACTGCACGCAAGATATCTGCGCCCACTTTAGGCCTGAGTCAGGTCGCACAGTACGGTCCTCCAAAGCCTGCCTCGCTGCCCGTTTCTCCGTCTGCTGTCGAGTTGAACTCGTGTGCGTGTAGACAGGTTGCACCATCGATCA